AACATGTGTTACATATTTTGCGATAAATAAAATATTTGTAGGGTTAATTAGAAATGCTTCTTTTCATTTTATTATTGTTGTTATTGTTCCGAACAATGCCACACACAAAAAAAAACGGAAAATATTAGAATTGACGAAAATTCAATTTTTTGGTATTTTTTCCAAAAAATTCCCCAAACTATCGGAATGTTTAGATTTTCATAAAATCAACTCGACATAGTTGCATAACAATTATATGAAAGTTTCAACGAATTTTGCTGGTTAATTGCGAAAGTGTGGAGCCACCTTAAAGGTTTTAAACATATTTGACCCCTGTGACCTTGAATATATGTAAAGGTCATTCATTTGAACAAGCTTGATAGCCCTTTATCCCAGCATGCTACTGGCCAAATATCATTATGCTAGGCCTCTTGGTTATTCAGAAGAAGTTGTATACAAGTTTTAAACATATTTGACCCCAATGACCTTCGGGCCAGGTGAGCTAAAAACCAATGTCCAATAAGTATCTATAAAGTTTACATTTATCTTTTAGGTTTCAGGAGGATATCTCGTGGTATGTAGAAGCCCTCTCGTGGTAATTAAAGCAAAGCAAACAAACAAAGGAGAAGCAACTCCTGAATCCAGGTTTCCATAACTGTATTGATACTTGTGCTAGCTGACTTAAGTTTCGATCCGCTATGCAAGCCTTCATCAGAACACAGCTACATTGTGCATGGTGATGGTAGGTAACAATGAAAGTCATCTGACTTGAAACAGTACGACATATTTATGAAGTCATCAATAGTGAAAACTGTTAAGTAACAGAGCAGCTTTGCCCTGAAAAACTTACCATTTTAAGAGAAGAAATAGCTGCAAAGTAGGGTGCTCCACTGTACCTACAATAAACAATATATCAATTAATACCCACTTAAGTAACTATAACTTGATCAACAGTTTGTAGCTGATTTAAATAGTAAATCTCTGCCTCACAAAACAACAGTTTGGTATTATAAATGTACTGACAGATACAATTTTGATGATATATTTCATTTGACTTGTGAAAAGTTCATGGGGTATAAAGTTCTCAAAAGGTCACAATTTATTGGTACTTGACTTATTCTCAAATTTGACATGTAAAATAAATATATAGTAAGCCTTAATTTCCATCTCTAAAATCTCTTTTAGAAGGAGTATATGATGTGCTTCATGTTGGAGTTTTTCCCTTAGATTTTATCCAATACTTAAATTATCTAAACATTGCTTACTCTTGACATCCTCCAACCACCCCTATCCTTCCCATCATGCCCTTGTGCTGGTCATTTGACAGTGGTGGTATGATAGACTTTGCCATCTCCAGCAGCTGACCAGAATTCTGGTAGGACACATCCTTTGGACATCCGAATGCAGCTGTAAGACAAATGAAGAGTGTTTAAGCACTGAAAATTTTGATTGTGAGAATTCCTACAATCTAACTCGATCCTTTTAGGGTAGAAATTTACCTGTACTGTAGTGAGTGATTTATAAGTAAGGCCTGGTAACCAATTTGTTTCTGTGCCAGTTAGAAATGATTTATACCTTTCAAACAAGTATATTCTTTCTGTTTGATAATTTTGATGCAATGTAAATTAAAAATGTGAAAAAGAAATATTTTAGGTTTGTCCCCATAGATGTCTTTTTTGCTAAATAACTCTTTTAATATCTTGCGAACGATTTTATTGAGAAACAATTCAATTTCTTTGACATACAAAAACATGAAAGCATACAAAGTCAGTGAATTTTGAGATACAGCAGTAATAACAGCATCCCATAAAATGTTAAACCCTAAGGCCAATCCAGATGATCTTTTTGCATAAAAATGGTCCGCAGTAGGTACTGCATGGAGGGTGGACATTTTTGTAAGTCACCAGCTATATATTTTTCAATTATAGGATCAGCACCCAATTGATACAGGTACAGTCTAGATCTAGAGCCACAAGTAAACACACTGGTTCAGGGGAAACAACTCTTATCAAACATTTAACACATTTAGTGTAACTATGGGTGAACAGCTTTAAAGTATAGTATTAACTATCATTAGGTTTCAACACCTGCTCACAAAGATATTAAATGTGTCTCTATAGTTAAATCTTAACTGTTCAGTCTCACAGTGGCACACTGTTACAAAGTAACAACGTGCATCGAAAGTACACATAAATGACAAATCATTTTACACATGAAATATTTGATGACACTCTGTACACACCTGTTGACGGTATCTTATATTTCCCTATAACATGCGCAAATACACTTGACAACGTGAACATTTCGAGATTTGTAGATAAATTCTAAGTGACAATCAGCAATTTTCAGAATTTCTGCTTATCAAGTATGTTTCGATACTTCTCTGACTTTTATATCAAATATAAAGAAAATTCGAGAAATGTCCGAATATGAAATCACGTGAGACTTTGTTACTTCGCGAGAAACGGCACCAAATTCAAAATGGCGCATAAAATGTCAACAAACACACATTGACAGAAGAAAAATATGGTGCTTGAAGTCTGAAAGCACTACACAGGTATAAAAACTGTATTAAGTTTATTGATATGTTAATTAAAATTCAACGTGTTTGTTCTAGGCCAATCATTTTCACCATTTCTTCGTTATGGAAGTTATTTCGGCATCACTGTTACAAGTTACAAGTCTGAACCGGTCATGATTATGCTGACTGCAGACAGATGATCTTGATGGGTCATTCTTCATATTTGATTGTGTTGGCTTTGTTAATAAATAAAGGATCTTATTAAACCCGCAAAACTTGCCCAGCCCGAATTTCATCTTGCTCCAAAACCAGACTTGACATTCTGACAAGAAGCGTTGTGGTGGATGTCTGATTTGAAGCCCAATGAATCTCGGACTATCCAATTTGTAGATGTAGTGCATATTACATATATCTCTTTGTTTTGCCAACAGTAGCACACTGACTATTCTGGTAGAAAATAATACTTTTACATCTACAACAAAATTCTCCTCCTTAACTGAGTTAAGTTACCTAGTGTGTAACATAATTTTTGTAACATTTCACTGTGTGACAATTTAGTCATGAAGGAATTTATATTGGTTACGTTTCTTTTCTGCTTCATTATGCACTCTTGTATGATTTATAAGACATTGATGATAGATTCCAAAATGTATTGGCATATACTCAAGTACTGGTTTCACTTGCTTCCCTACAAGTCCAATAATAGTATGATCAAGATATGATTTCCAAAGGTAATTAGCTTGTCATAAATAATTACAATACAATAATCTTTATTTAAAGTCGGGTAAGTGTACAACAGTAAAACATTAGCTCTAGAGAGCTATTGATCGACTAATTGAACCGTGTCAAAAATTAGCTATACACAGCCATTGGATACTATTTGGGGTATCCTGTTTGGCACTCATGTCGAAAATGAGCTCTCTGGGATCAGCAGCCATTGGATTCTTCCTGCAATTTTGTGCATGAAGTTGATATTTTGCCAAAGTGTTTTAGAGTCATCGTCATTAAATATGGTCACAAAAAACAACAATCTTTGATTCATCAGCAAATGATAGGAAAAGAGCCACAAACTATATGGTTGGTAAAGAAATGTAAAGATATCCATTGCAAACCCATATATACAGAACTTATTTGATTATGAACAAAAGAATATTAATTGAATGAAATATTATATAGGTTATTAAATTATATGGTTGTTCTTTGATGAAATACCAACTGTTTAGCATGTAATTGGTTTATGTATCAAAATAGGTAACACTGACTTCATTACAAGTCTTTTAATAATAACTAATTTGTAAAAATATTAATATAATGCCAATGGAAATATTGACTTCCATTTTTGTGCTTGTATATATATATATATGAATAACTACATTCAGGCATACAGATCAGTTTATTATTTGTTTTATGAACAGTATGAGCAGAGATTAAAAATCATGCATGCAATACTTACTCAGGTCCTTTTTATTTGTCTTTTCAGATTTCATTATGAGCAATTCAAGGAGGCCAAAGCCACTTGACTTTTCTGGAGACAGTGATATAGGTAAAGACTAATTGACTAATGAAAGAGGAAGTGTGAAAAATAAAAAGTTATATTTGAGAAACAATCAAAATCATAGTCTCATTGGTGCTGTAGATGACCTTCACTGACTGTTGCCTAATGCTGAGTTTGTAATTGAGATCAAGAGTACCAATAGGTCCTCTCCAGCTCAAACAAAACATTACTTCTGGATTAATTAAATTTTTAACCAATTGCAGAAAAAACTATAGAACTTTATTTTCTTCCTGTCATTGTTTTAGTAGCAAAATTTGGGATCATGTTTTGTCCATTTTTACTTCATTATGAACTAAAGTTTTGATCTCATCTTCAGACTCCACAGTAACACCTATCAATCCTCCAGATGACGGTGGCCATGGGCAGATCATTGAGTCAGACAGTCTCTCTGACTTCTACCTTCATGAGGTCAAACACAAAAAGCATAGAAAGAAAAGCCAGAACTATGATGCTGATTTATCAGACGAAGGTTAATTTTTAACAGTAATTTGATATGATTTTAACAGAAAAAGCTGATTAATTAGCCATAATGAATTACACTTCTAGTATGACAGCATTGGTGTTGGGATGAAGCTCCTATAGAAACAGATAAAATGGATACTGTATAGAGGCCTACCTAAAAAAGGGATATCATCAAGACTGCTTGAGCATGATACATTATGACATCCATGAAAAAATAGTTGTTTAGGGGGTTACATCCTCAACACTACCTGTGTTAGGTGACATTCATATAGGTACAGTTTCAGTAGTGTGATTCTAAGGACAATTCATCTATTACAACAGTAACATAAATACTGCTATATCAAAACAATGAGAACTTAGACATCAGTATTAGGCAGTGTGATTGTGATACAAAGATAAGTGCCTGAAATCTGTAACTAAGGTCAAGATTACAAAGCCATATCTACTAAAATCATGATGCGATTTGATATAGGACAGTAGGACATTTACTGAGACACAACTATACATTGGGATAAGACTGACATTGTTCGTATGTTGCACAATTTTCATACCATATAAATTATCAAACATATTTTTGTTTTTCAGAACACCATAGTAAAAGCAACATGAAGGAGATTTACAGAGAATTACAGACTATCAGTAAAAAGCTCAAGGTAAAGCATTGCTCAATTCCTGTAAGTTAACATACCATATTGGAGACTATCAGTAAAAAGCTCAAGGTAAAACATAGCTCAATTCCTGTAAGTTAACATACCATATTACAGACTATCAGTAAAAAGATCAAGGTAAAGTATTACTCAATTGCAGTAAGTTAACATACCATATTACAGACTATCAGTAAAAAGCTCAAGGTAAAGCATTGCTCAATTCATGTAAGTTAACATACCATATTACAGACTATCAGTAAAAAGTTCAAGGTAAAGTATTACTCAATTGCAGTAAGTTAACATACCATATTACAGACTATCATAACTACTATGTACTGTTTACATATGCTGCATTCCATGATATTTTACTCAAAGTTAAAATGTTTTATAATGGAGCCCTCCGTGTACAACACACAGTAGTATTATCATCAAATGTATAGTCTCTGTGACTTAAAACAAACCTGTTTTTTCAGGATGAGAACAAGATCCTGTATGAGAGAGAACAGAAGGTAAAGGAGCGAGAGAGAATGGTGTCTATCTCCTCGGCTAGTGTACAGACCATCACAAACCACGCCGTCCGCCAGAGGATACAGGCCATAGAGGAGGTGAGCAAATCATACAACAGTCTTTCTCTTACCCTGGACAGGTGTATCCGCACTTTTACCAGTGTGAGATTAATAGAATCTCTCACCCACTTGGGGGTGAAATAGGGGAATCTCACCCTGAGGAGGAAGATTCTTATGTTGCCAAACACGAGGCTTTGCCAAGTGTTTGGCAACTTAAGAATCTTTTCAAGAGGGTTGAGATTCCCCTTTCTCACCCACAAGGGGGTGAATAATTCTTTTTCTCTTACCCTGTTCTTCCATTGTGTATCATATATACAATGTAATGATAACGCTACATGCTAAATTCAGGGTTGAAGTGACGTTGATGGATTGTTGACGTGACGTCATTGTATTGTTGAAGTGACGTCATACCATTGTTATGAATAGGGGAATCCCCCCGTCTCAACCCTAGGGTGAGACAAGGAAATATCACACCGGTAAAAGTGCGCATACACCTGTCCAGGGTAAGATGATTCCTTGTTTCACCCTATGGTTGAGACGGGGGGGATTCCCCTATTCATAACAATGGTATGACATCACTTCAACAATACAATGACGTCATGTCAACAATACAATGACGTCACGTCAACAATCCATGAACGTCACGTCAACCCTGAATTTAGCATGTAACGTTATCATTACATTGTGTATATGATACAAATTGAGAAAACAGGGTAAGAGAAAAAGAATCATTCACCCCCTTGTGGGTAAGATAGGGGAATCGCAACCCTCGGGGAAAGATTCTTAAGTTGACAAACACTCAGCAAAGCCTCATGTTTGGCAACATAAGAATCTTCCCCCTCAGGTTGAGATTCCCCTATCTTACCCACAAGGGGGTGATTGATTCTATTAGTCTATATATCTGTCTGTCTGTCTCTTCATCCTTCTCACAAGTCTAAAGTCACAGTCACAAGGCCTAACAAGGGTATGAAGGTCTGGAATAATGGTGTAAAAGTTCAGTCTGTCTGTGTAGCTCTAATATCTTTGATAAGACATGCCTGAACATAAGTATGCATCAGACTGTGATACATGTTGTCTGTTTCTTGTCTGATGAAATGAAGTAAAAGTTCTGTCTGTCTGTATTAATGTTACTATCAGACAAATTATCTTCACGGTACCGGGTACTATCAGACAAATTATCTTCATGGTACTATCAGACAAATGGTACTATCAGACAAATGGTACTATCAGACAAATTATGCTATCAGACAAATTATCTTCATGGTACTATCAGACAAATTATACTATCAGACAGATTATCTTCATGGTACTATCAGACAAATGGTACTATCAGACAAATTATACTATCAGACATATTATCTTTATGGTACTATCAGACAAATTATACTACTAGACAGATTATCTTTATGGTACTATCAGACAAATTATACTATTAGACAGATTATCTTTATGGTACTATCAGACAAATTATACTATCAGAGAGATTATCTTCATGGTACTATCAGAAAAATTATACTATCAGACAAATTATCCTATCAGACAAATTATCTCCATGGTACTATAAGACAAATTATACTATCAGACAAGTTATACTATCAGACAGATTATACTATCAGCCAGATTTACCTCTCAGACAGATTATACTATTAGACAGATTATACTATCAGACAAATTATCTTCATGGTACTATCAGACAAATTATATTATCAGACAGATTATCTTCATGGGACTATCAGACAAATTATACTATCTGACAGTTTATCTTCTTGGTATTATCAGACAATTTATACTATCAGACAGATTATCTCTATGGTACTATCAGACAAATTATATTATCAGACAGATTATCTTCATGGTCCTATAAGACAAATTATACTATCAGACAGATTATCCTATCAGACAGATTATACTATCAGCCAGATTTACCTCTCAGACAGATTATACTATTAGACAGATTATACTATCAGACAAATTATCCTATCAGACAAATTATCTCCATGGTACTATAAGACAAATTATACTATTAGACAGATCATCTTTATGGTACTATCAGACAATTTATACTATTAGACAGATTATCTTTATGGTACTATCAGCCAAATTATACTATCAGACAGATTGTCTTTATGGTACTATCAGACAAATGGTACTATCAGACAAATTATATTATCAGACAGATTATCTTCATGGTCCTATAAGACAAATTATACTATCAGACAGAATATCTTCATGGCACTATCAGACAAATTATACTATCAGACAGATTATCTTCATGGTACTATCAGACAAATTATACTATCAGACAAATTATACTATCAGACAGATTATACTATCAGACAGATTATACTATCAGACAGATTAAACTATCAGACAGATTATACTATTAGACAGATTATACTATCAGACAAATTATCTTCACATTACTGTCAGACAAAACATGCTATCAGACAAATTATCATCATTGTACTCAAGAAAAATTCTATCCATGGTACTGTCGGCAAATACTATGTTGAGGTGCTGTCAGACAAATTATCTTGTGGTTCTGTCACACATATCATGTTCACAGAACTGCTAAACAAATTATCTTCATGTTACTTTCAGACTTGAATTACTGTTTAAACTTTAGTTTTTAGCTCACCTGTCCGAAGGTTGTAGCTTTAAAACGCTACTTGTCCTGAACAGCCAAGTATATTTGGACTAAATTTGGTCTGTAGCATCCTTAGGCCAAGGGGACTCAATTTTGTATAAAAGATGGGTGTGGCCTCCCTGGGGGAAGAGAGGTGGGGCCCAATAGGGGAAATAGAGGTAAAACCTTTAAAATCCTTCTTCTATTGTAGGGATAAAGGGATTTTATCCTAATTTGGTCTGGAGCATCATTGGGCAAAGGGGACTAAATTTTGTTAAACGGTGGGTGTGGCCACCCTGGGGGCAGAGCCAAATAGAGGTAAAACCTTTAAAATCCTTCTTCTATTGAAGGGATAAAGGGATTTTATCCTAATTTGGTCTGGAGCATCCTTGGGCAAAGGGGACTATATTTTGTAATAACGGTGTATGTGTGGCCTACCTTGGGGCAGAGAGGTGGGATCCAATAGGGGAAATAGAGCTAAAACCTTTAAAATCCTTCTTCTACTGTAGGAATTGAGGGATTTTATCCCAATTTAACCTGGAGCATCCTTAGGCAAAGGGGACAAACATTTTGGGTTTGGACCCCCTGTGGGCTGAGAGTTGCGGGGTCCAATGGGGGAAATTAGAGGTTTAAATCTTTAAAAAAAAAAAACTTCTGCACGATTGGAGGGATTTTATGTAATAAGAATAATTTCCCATGGTTGCTTTATTATCCATGTGAGCGATACAGACCCTCTGGGCTTCTTGTTAAAAATTTAATGAATGGATCATGGCATATGTGTGAGATTAGAAATGTGAAAGGGAAGTTTTATGTTTTCATCAGAAGCACAGAGCAGAGGTCGATACATTACAACAAGCCCTGAGAGAGAAAGGAAAGGAAAACAAACGTCTTAAAGACAACTTTGAGACTCTAAAGCAAGCAAATGACGCACTAAAACAGGAGGTAAGAAATCTAGACACCTAAGGATGGCATTTTTTTTTTTTTTTTTAGTTTATATCAGATTATGACATCACAAATTTCTTACATAAAAAACATGAAAAACAGTTAAACACAGTTTCTTTTTGGTAATTTCTTTTTATAAAACAGGAAAAAAAAAAATGAAAGTGAAAACAAACCTGGTTAGAAGATTACAGATATTTGTACATTAATAGATATGTTGAGGGAAAACCAAAATAAAAGGAAAACTTAAAAATCTATAAAGATTTAACTAATTAATCGATTCTAGATAAAGTGTAAATACGACGGGAGACTTTTTGTTATTTTATCCGTATAACAGGTGTAGGTGTAATGTACTATATCTGTTACAGCTGGAAACCTTACAAGCAGAACATGACAAGCTGGAGAAGCAGTCTGTGAGTGTCCAGTCCAGACTGACCAATCTACAGGTAAACATTCTTACCTTTCTTCTATCTGAGGATGATGGCTGTATAGTCCAATGGAAAGCCAGGTCCAGTGTGCCAGTCATTATTAGTAGGGCCCTGCATCAGGTCCAGTGTGCCAGTCATTATAAGTAGGGCCCTGCATCAGGTCCAGTGTGCCAGTCATTATAAGTAGGGCCCTGCATCAGGTCCAGTGTGCCAGTCATTATAAGTAGGGCCCTGCATCAGGTCCAGTGTGCCAGTCATTATAAGTAGGGCCCTGCATCAGGTCCAGTGTGCCAGTCATTATAAGTAGGGCCCTGCATCAGGTCCAGTGTGCCAGTCATTATAAGTAGGGCCCTGCATCAGGTCCAGTGTGCCAGTCATTATAAGTAGGGCCCTGCATCAGGTCCAGTGTGCCAGTCATTATAAGTAGGGCCCTGCATCAGGTCCAGTGTGCCAGTCATTATAAGTAGGGCCCTGCATCAGGTCCAGTGTGCCAGTCATTATAAGTAGGGCCCTGCATCAGGTCCAGTGTGCCAGTCATTATAAGTAGGGCCCTGCATCAGGTCCAGTGTGCCAGTCATTATAAGTAGGGCCCTGCATCAGGTCCAGTGTGCCAGTCATTATAAGTAGGGCCCTGCATCAGGTCCAGTGTGCCAGTCATTATAAGTAGGGCCCTGCATCAGGTCCAGTGTGCCAGTCATTATAAGTAGGGCCCTGCATCAGGTCCAGTGTGCCAGTCATTATAAGTAGGGCCCTGCATCAGGTCCAGTGTGCCAGTCATTATAAGTAGGGCCCTGCATCAGGTCCAGTGTGCCAGTCATTATAAGTAGGGCCCTGCATCAGGTCCAGTGTGCCAGTCATTATAAGTAGGGCCCTGCATCAGGTCCAGTGTGCCAGTCATTATAAGTAGGGCCCTGCATCAGGTCCAGTGTGCCAGTCATTATAAGTAGGGCCCTGCATCAGGTCCAGTGTGCCAGTCATTATAAGTAGGGCCCTGCATCAGGTCCAGTGTGCCAGTCATTATAAGTAGGGCCCTGCATCAGGTCCAGTGTGCCAGTCATTATAAGTAGGGCCCTGCATCAGGTCCAGTGTGCCAGTCATTATAAGTAGGGCCCTGCATCAGGTCCAGTGTGCCAGTCATTATAAGTAGGGCCCTGCATCAGGTCCAGTGTGCCAGTCATTATAAGTAGGGCCCTGCATCAGGTCCAGTGTGCCAGTCATTATAAGTAGGGCCCTGCATCAGGTCCAGTGTGCCAGTCATTATAAGTAGGGCCCTGCATCAGGTCCAGTGTGCCAGTCATTATAAGTAGGGCCCTGCATCAGGTCCAGTGTGCCAGTCATTATAAGTAGGGCCCTGCATCAGGTCCAGTGTGCCAGTCATTATAAGTAGGGCCCTGCATCAGGTCCAGTGTGCCAGTCATTATAAGTAGGGCCCTGCATCAGGTCCAGTGTGCCAGTCATTATTAGTAGGGCCCTGCATCAGGTCCAGTGTGCCAGTCATTATAAGTAGGGCCCTGCATCAGGTCCAGTGTGCCAGTCATTATAAGTAGGGCCCTGCATCAGGTCCAGTGTGCCAGTCATTATAAGTAGGGCCCTGCATCAGGTCCAGTGTGCCAGTCATTATAAGTAGGGCCCTGCATCAGGTCCAGTGTGCCAGTCATTATAAGTAGGGCCCTGCATCAGGTCCAGTGTGCCAGTCATTATAAGTAGGGCCCTGCATCAGGTCCAGTGTGCCAGTCATTATAAGTAGGGCCCTGCATCAGGTCCAGTGTGCCAGTCATTATAAGTAGGGCCCTGCATCAGGTCCAGTGTGCCAGTCATTATAAGTAGGGCCCTGCATCAGGTCCAGTGTGCCAGTCATTATAAGTAGGGCCCTGCATCAGGTCCAGTGTGCCAGTCATTATAAGTAGGGCCCTGCATCAGGTCCAGTGTGCCAGTCATTATAAGTAGGGCCCTGCATCAGGTCCAGTGTGCCAGTCATTATAAGTAGGGCCCTGCATCAGGTCCAGTGTGCCAGTCATTATAAGTAGGGCCCTGCATCAGGTCCAGTGTGCCAGTCATTACAAGTAGGGCCCTGCATCAGGTCCAGTGTGACAGTCATTATTAATAGGGCCTGCATCAGGTCCAGTGTGACAGTAATTATAAGTAGGGCCCTGAATCAGGTCCAGTGTGACAGTCCTTGTAAGTAGGGCCCTGCATCAGGTCCAGTGTGCCAGTCATTGTAAGTAGGGCCCTGAATCAGGTCCAGTGTGACAGTCATTATAAGTAGGGCCCTGCATCAGGTCCAGTAATTCTGTAATTATAAGTAGGGCCCTGCATCAGGTCCAGTGTGCCAGTCATTATAAGTAGGGGCCTGCCTCAGGTCCAGTGTGCCAGTCATTATAAGTAGGGGCCTGCCTCAGGTCCAGTGTGCCAGTCATTATAAGTAGGGCCCTGCATCAGGGCCAGTGTGCCAGTAATTATAAGTAGGGCCCTGCATCAGGTCCAGTGTACCAGTAGTTATAAGTAGGGTCCTGAATCAGGTCCAGTGTGCCAGTATATATAAGTAGGGCCCTGAATCAGGTCCAGTGTGACAGTAGTTATAAATAGGGCCCTGCATCAGGTCCAGTGTACCAGTATATATAAGTAGGGTCCTGCATCAGTGCTAGTAATTTGAATTGGGGTCCTGCATCAGAGCCAGTTATTATAAGTAGGGCCCTGCATCAGGTCCAGTAATTGTAAGTAGGGCCCTGCATCAGTGCCAGTAATTTTAAGTAGGGCCCTGCATCAGGGCCAGTAATTATAAGTAGGGCCCTGCATCAGTGCCAGTAATTATAAGTAGGGCCCTGCATCAGTGCCAATAATTTTAAGTAGGGCCCTGCATCAGTGCGAATAATTTTAAGTAGGGCCCTGCATCAGTGCCAGTAATTATAAATAGGGCCCTGCATCAGTGCCAGTAGTTATAAATAGGGCCCTGCATCAGTGCCAGTAATTATAAGAAGGGCCCTGCATCAGGTCCAGTAATTATAAGTAGGGCCCTGCATCAGTGCCAGTAATTTTAAGTAGGGCCCTGCATCAGTGCCAGTAATTATAAATAGGGCCCTGCATCAGAAATATATTTTATGGATGTGCCACAGTAATTACAGTGTCTGTCTGTTTGTGCATCTGTCCGTTCACACTTTTGTTTCCGGAGATTATCTCAGAATCAAAAAGACAACTCTTTTTGTAATTTGACATGGTGGTTTACCTAGAGTGTATATGTATAGGTGTGTAAGAGGGGTTAAACAAGTGTTATAGGTTCCAAGTTACCATAGAGGAGGTATAACAGCCAGGCACATGGCCGGGCCCTTCCTGACCTGTCAGTGTTCTAGTTTCACCTTCATATCAATGATGTGCTGTTTCAGAGAAAGCAAGAATTCGCAGAACGACAAAAAGACTTAGCACTTGCCGTACCAAAACAGAAACTACCAAAGGATGCAGAAGAAAAATCTAAACCAGCAAAGCAGTCTAAGGTAGGTGTGGCGTGATAGACAACCTACTGCCTTAGAGTGTTCCATGTGAAGTTTTAATCCTTGGTGTTACCTAAACTAGATGTTCTAGGTGTTACTTGTATATTACTGTCGGTTCCAGCTAGCTTTACCAGTATACACATTCGATGTGATGGGAGTGCTGTTGGACTGGATTTCTGATGCCCACTTGCGATACACTGTGACTGACCAGCCATCTCGGCCCGCTGAGCGATACTTCTCCCCTGAGTATGTCCAGGAGAAAGTCCTAAAGGTAAGGAATGTCATATATGTCTTCTGAGACAACTAACAATAGGGTAACTTGGAACCCTGAATAATAACATAATGCTAATTAACTTGTTTAACCCAGGGTTTACCTCCATCTAGCCTGTTGTTCACTGACACTGGACGTGTGGTCATCAGTGATTACACACTGTTGGTTATAGAAATCAAAGATCCTCTGAGTAACATCATGTTACTATTTACATGTTCATTCCCGAGGACAATCATTCACAAATAAAAAAAAATCAGATATAAGCACTATCCTTATTGAAATGGCATCCTCTCAATTACAAATTCAAGTTGATGTGAATAAAACCTACAGACAGTTCAACAAAGTCATTTACATAGTTCTTCACTATTTGACATTTTTAGACTAGAAACAGGAACATGTCGATATGAGAAAAGTGACATAATAAACAAAACCTTGAAGTGTCTGAATTTTGGTTGTAGATTTTACCGTCTTCTGTGGATTTATTGCGGGAGTTTCCAGGACATAATCTCCGTATTAGTCTACCGTGTATACAGTTCATCTACTGGTCACTGGTACACATAGAACAGGGCTCAGGCTCACAGGTAACCGCTACAACCAGTACGCTAATACCAAAATCTACACCTGATCACATTTTGGTGGTCACTGGTAGAGGTCAAAGGTCACATTCAAAGACTTTTGAAGTGAAAGGCTTGTGTACAAGGTATCCCACGAACCCCTCAACAAATGTAATTTGTATTTACACTAAATTATGGTATCATTGAGTTTTTCCATCTGATTTGATGGTCATTGGTCAAAATTGAATGGTCAAAGGTCATGGGCAACGTGGGGTGATGGGCAAAGTGGGGTGATGGGCAAAGTGGGGTGATGGGGGAAGTGGGGTGATGGGCAAAGTGGGGTGATGGGCAAAGTGGGGTGATGAGCGAAGTGGGGTGATGGGGGAAGTGGGGTGATGGGCAAAGTGGGGTGATGGGGGAAGTGGGGTATATCTTTGTGAGCCTCTACTCACCTTACTTTTATTATATCATAATGAAACTGAGTTCAAACCTTACATTTCAATAAGTAGCAATTAACTTTAAATGACTTTTACAGTTTTCTCCACTAACACTCCTAAAGGAGAAATGTTTATTTCCATATTCCTCTGGTTTTAGAAGTCCAGCCTTTCCTCGACATTACGAAGACTTGGGGAGGAGATGTACCGTGCCAAGACTGTACGTTTCTCTGACACTGACAAAACGCTGGACAGTACACCATTACCACTGGTCAAGCTGGACAAGAACAAGGACACCGTTTACTTCCGGAGTACAAACCTCCACGTCCGACTCCTGTCCTCCCTCATCATACTAAAGACTCTCAGTCAGGGTAAGGCGTCACAGCTTCAACATTTCCACACCATGGGATCTACATAAAGCTGTTAAATGTCAAAATGTATCACTTGTATATTTATAAAGGTGATGCCGCTGTAATTTTTGTAAATGGCACACTGGTATTGATACAAATAAGTTTCATACTCTGGGGATTCATTGCACGCATATTTATCTTTTTGATTCACTTTGCCAAATGTTAGCTATGAAGTGTCCATTTCATTCAACATATCCAATGAAGTAAGCGTATGATTTGGTATTATTCTTTGGCGTGTCACCTTTTTACAGCATACTTATGTGTTGATTTCATTACATAGCTGATCTGAAATTTTAGCTCACCTGGCTAAAAGGCTGATACCTAAGGGAATTTTTGCCGAATATTGCAAAGATTGCTCCTTGGCAAAGTATATAATAATTAAATGAAGGATGTAGCCCTCTTGGGCCAGAAGGGGCAGGGCCCAAATGGTTGATCTTAAACCATTGTTCAATGTTGTAGAGTTCTAAAAGGGTCAAAAGGCAGGCACAATAATGGAATTGGGGGTCAAATCTTTAAAGGACTACTGCTATGTATAAGTGAATATAATTTGACCACTGGGTTAAGGTTTTTTATCTGGTTATATATTACAGTTGACCTTCTAGCCCATGTGTTTGATGTGCTGAGGAACGACCTGAAGTCAGACATTGCCAAGGAGCTGTATCTGTACTACCATGCTACCCCGGTCATCCTGATGTACCTTAAACCGGTCAATAAGGTAACGAACATCTCTCCGTCACAGTTAATTGATCAAACTTCAGGACAGTAACTATCTATATATCCTTCCATTAGACTTGTCAGTTTAGACATATGTAATATCAAGGTTTTACTTGATACAAAAACAATTACACATATTTAATACATTGTTTGTACATCATCTCTTCATCACCCAATGAAATGACAGGCTTATAGTCAATCATCAGATTTCTATAAAATCTACATTTTTATATAGTCTGTCTAACTGTAACGCCTGTATGTCACTTGATGCTCAGTGATTATAACCTGGTGGTCTGGTATTAGGGATACCTGTCTAACTGTAACGCCTGTATGTCACTTGATGCTCAGTGTGTATAACTTGGTGATCTGGTACTAGGGATACCTGTCTAACTGTAACGCCTGTATGTCACTTGATGCTCAGTGTGTATAACTTGGTGATCTGGTCCTAGGGATCCCTGTCTAACTGTAACGCCTGTATGTCACTTGATGCTCAGTGTGTATAACTTGGTGATCTGGTACTAGGGATACCTGTCTAACTGTAACGCCTGTATGTCACTTGACGCTCAGTGATTATAACCTGGTGGTCTGGTATTAGTGATACCTGTCTAACTGTAACGCCTGTATGTCACTTGATGCTCAGTGGTTATAACTTGGTGGTCTGGTACTAGGGATACCTGTCTAACTGTAACGCCTGTATGTCACTTGATGCTCAGTGATTATAACCTGGTGGTGTGGTATTAGGGATACCTGTCTAACTGTAACGCCTGTATGTCACTTGACGCTCAGTGATTATAACCTGGTGGTCTGGTATTAGTGATACCTGTCTAACTGTAACGCCTGTATGTCACTTGATGCTCAGTGATTATAACTTGGTGATCTGGTACTAGGGATACCTGTCTAACTGTAACGCCTGTATGTCACTTGATGCTCAGTGTGTATAACTTGGTGATCAGGTACTAGGGATACCTGTCTAACTGTAACGCCTGTATGTCACTTGACGCTCAGTGATTATAACCTGGTGGTCTGGTATTAGTGATACCTGTCTAACTGTAACGCCTGTATGTCACTTGATGCTCAGTGATTATAACTTGGTGGTCGGGTACTAGGGATACCTGTCTAACTGTAACGCCTGTATGTCACTTGATGCTCAGTGATTATAACTTGGTGGTCGGGTACTAGGGATACCTGTCTAACTGTAACGCCTGTATGTCACTTGACGCTCAGTGATTATAACCTGGTGGTCTGGTATTAGTGATACCTGTCTAACTGTAACGCCTGTATGTCACTTGACGCTCAGTGATTATAACCTGGTGGTCTGGTATTAGGGATGCCTGTCTAACTGTAACGCCTGTATGTCACTTGATGCTCAGTGATTATAACTTGGTGGTCGGGTACTAGGGATACCTGTCTAACTGTAACGCCTGTATGTCACTTGATGCTCAGTGTGTATAACTTGGTGATCTGGTACTAGGGATACCTGTCTAACTGTAACGCCTGTATGTCACTTGATGCTCAGTGATTATAACCTGGTGGTCTGGTACTAGGGATATGTATAAGTAACATAACCTAGTGGTCTGGTACTAGGGATATGTATAAGTTACATTATAACCTAGTGGTCTGGTACTAGGGATATGTATAAGTAACATTATAACCTAGTGGTCTGGTACTAGGGATACATATAAGTAACATTATAACCTAGTGGTCTGGTACTAGGGATATATATTAGTAACATTATAACCTAGTGGTCTGGTACTAGGGATACATATAAGTAACATTATAACCTAGTGGTCTGGTACTAGGGATACATATAAGTAACATTATAACCTAGTGGTCTGGTACTAGGGATATATATAAGTAACATTATAACCTAGTGGTCTGGTACTAGGGATACCTCTAAGTAACATTATGAGGTGACTGTTTAGTATGTCTACAGAACACTGTTTATAACTTGATTTCACACAATATTATTTTTTGTGCAGTAGATTAATGTTAATCAGGATCCATCTACCCTGGCTTGTTAATTTCACCATTCACAGTTGAAATATTATATATAGCAAGCTGTGTACGGATAATTACCATCATAATAAATTTGCTGTCATTATTGAGTGCAAGAACTAATAACAGCTGTACATTGATCATTGATTCTGGTTGTGTAATTGGCAGGCGTTCATGGGGGCAGCCATGGACATATTCTTACACATGTCGTCGGACTCGCCTTTCCAGCAGTCCTTTCTGGAAGGATGTAGTAACGAAACCTGGTTCAGAACCATAGCCATGGTCCTGCGAGCTCCCAGTCAAGATTATAAAGTTCTGGAAAAACTTAGCATCATCCTACAGAAACTCTCCAAAATGAAGTAAGTCTCCAACATCTGTTGTAAACCTAGCAGTGTAGACGATAGGGAAGGCAGTCTTATTATTTTCGAATCTTGAGAGATATGAATATTTTCACTTTGTTTACGTCTTGTTTTGTTTGGTTTAGTCTGTCGTAGTCTTTTAAAATCTATTTTAGTCTGTTTTAATCTATTTTAATCTGTTTTAGTATGTTTTAATCTGTTTTAATCTGTTTTAATCTGTTTTAGTATGTTTTAATCTGTTTTAGTATGTTTTAGTATGTTTTAATCTGTTTTAATCTGTTTTAATCTGTTTTAGTATGTTTTAATCTGTTTTAATCTATTTTAATCTCTTTTAATCTGTTTTAATCTATTTTAATCTCTTTTAATCTGTTTTAATCTATTTTAATCTGTTTTAATCTGTTTTAGTATGTTTTAGTCTGTTTTAGTCTGTTTTAATCTGTTTTAATCTGTTTTAGTCTGTTTTAGTCTGTTTTAGTATGTTTTAATCTGTTTTAATCTGTTTTAGTATGTTTTAATCTGTTTTAATCTGTTTTAGTATGTTTTAATCTGTTTTAATCTATTTTAATCTCTTTTAATCTGTTTTAATCTATTTTAATCTCTTTTAATCTGTTTTAATCTATTTTAATCTGTTTTAATCTGTTTTAGTATGTTTTAGTCTGTTTTAGTCTGTTTTAATCTGTTTTAATCTGTTTTAGTCTGTTTTAGTCTGTTTTAGTATGTTTTAATCTGTTTTAATCTGTTTTAGTATGTTTTAATCTGTTTTAATCTGTTTTAGTATGTTTTAATCTGTTTTAATCTATTTTAATCTCTTTTAATCTGTTTTAATCTATTTTAATCTCTTTTAATCTGTTTTAATCTATTTTAATCTGTTTTAATCTGTTTTAGTATGTTTTAGTCTGTTTTAGTCTGTTTTAATCTGTTTTAATCTGTTTTAGTCTGTTTTAGTCTGTTTTAGTATGTTTTAATCTGTTTTAATCTGTTTTAGTATGTTTTAATCTGTTTTAATCTGTTTTAGTATGTTTTAATCTGTTTTAATCTATTTTAATCTCTTTTAATCTGTTTTAATCTATTTTAATCTCTTTTAATCTGTTTTAATCTATTTTAATCTGTTTTAATCTGTTTTAGTATGTTTTAGTCTGTTTTAGTCTGTTTTAATCTGTTTTAATCTGTTTTAGTCTGTTTTAGTCTGTTTTAGTATGTTTTAATCTGTTTTAATCTGTTTTAGTATGTTTTAATCTGTTTTAATCTGTTTTAGTATGTTTTAATCTGTTTTAATCTATTTTAATCTCTTTTAATCTGTTTTAATCTATTTTAATCTCTTTTAATCTGTTTTAATCTATTTTAATCTGTTTTAATCAACTATTCTATTTAAAAGCAATCAATCCTTTATCAACTATTGATTTGAGTTAGGTTGTCTTATCATTTTTCTACTGTATACAGACCTTTAAAGGAAGTTCTTTTTCTGTTAATCTTATATCACTTCCTCTATATTCACCTAATGACAGTCGAAGGCGTTCTAGGGAGTTAGAGCATTATTGACAGTAATGTTGCAGAAAAGTATAAGCTAAACAAAAAACACAGATGCTAAGGTCTACTCTATATAACCAAGATGTCCAAGGATCACATCCCTGTAGCACAGATGTTTTCCTGGAAAAGAAATTACAATGATACCGATATCTCTTTCTTATATAACTCTTGGCTATAGTTAATGGTCAACTTCAAGTCTCTCTACCTTTGCATAAAAACAACGATCAGACTTGTGGACACAGTAAGACAGTCTTCATTTTAACTGTTACGTATGTAAGGAGATGAAGAAGGTGATTGAACTTGGTGTTTATTTAACTTATGACAACAACCTTAAAAGTTCTAAAGCATTTCTATTTAATCCAAATATTTATCACACTTTTTCAATAAAGAATGAAGTATTATATATATGATAGTTTTCCTAACAAAATAATGCTCCCACACCAACTTTAGGTAAATAATATGCTTAGGCAGAACAGCAGCCCGTTATCCTTTACACTGTGACTAATACACACAATTATCTCACTGCTAAGAATGCGATAACCATTGGTTTCCACAGAAAGTGTTGTTACCAAGGCACCACAGTGAAACTCCAGACTTCTATAAGTGCTTAAAGTACATTTCTATAAACAGCCTAGCTTATCCTACAAAACCTGTGTATCTTAGACTATGTCTCCATCTTCCGAGTCATAGATACATGTAATAATAACTTGGCTCTACTTACAGGTCCAACAGGAAGTACTTTGAAGTATACACCATAGTGGCCATCATACAGGAACTGCTACGTGGCTGTGCCACAGATCAGGCCTTCCTAGCCCTCAACCTTAAATCCATACTCTTCAATCTCACAGCGGAGTGCTCCAACCAAATCTGAGTAGGTTATAGTCTACCTCAAATCCAAACTCTTCAATCATACTGAGGAGTGCTTCAACCAGATCTGAGTACCTCAAATCCATACTCTTCAATCTTACTGCGGAGTGCTCTAACTAGATCTGAGTGGATTATGATCTACCTACAAACTGAAATCCGTCCTAATGAACCTTGCCACCGAACACAACAACCAGATCTGAGTATGTGAGCCTAAGGAGTGCTTTATTTTACTTAATTGCTGTGTGCTGCAGCTTTCTTCAACTTTGAAATCTCTTCCATTCAACCTACAAGATAATAATTGAAGGCATGCAGATCTTTATAAGAACAGGGCACTGCATATTGGTGAATGTTTGAATTCTAGAGCTTACCCGGTATACATATTTTTGTAGACTAGATGATATTGGTAGTTTCTTTTTAAGAAAAGTTGAAGTTCTCAGGTATATTACGTATTTATGTAATGATCGGAGGAAGTTGATTTGAATCCCAAGGCGTCTGAGCCTCGAGTACTTGTTTGATAAGCTACAGAAGAGTAGCTACATAGGATGTGTGTGGATTTACACAAGGTAGTGCTCATTGTGTACGTTATAGTTTAGTCTGTCATCTTTTTATTTCTCAGATCAGATTAAATTTTCACCAATCATGAAGAAAGTGTTCAGTCAGACTAAATTTTCACTTCGCATGAAGATAGTGTTTCTCTATATTTTATTATGTAGAACAATTTTGAAGTGAAGCCCTCGGCAAAGCCACGTGCTGTACAAATATGTACTACGAAAATCTTGCCCTTAGGTTGAGATTTCTATGTCTATTTTACAAAGAACTGATGGATTCTTTTAATCACTTATGTAAACGGATTGGCTTTGATTATTTTAGGTGTATACAAATTGAAGAAGAAATTTAGAGATATCTATAATGACTTCACATTAGAATACATATACGTAAGATTGTTACTGCTCTCACACTTACATGTAGATTTAGTAGAAGTATGAGAGCTATTTTTGTATATTTTGTCATGTTATGATGAAACAAATGTTTATGACATCAATTACTTATATCATTAATGTTATTTTTGATTTTTATGTAACTATTTATAAATATTTTTTTGGAAATGGGCAAGATTGGATCAAAGCAAGAAATAAAATAACAAAAGAAATATGCATTTGTTTTATTGTTTTGTTTTTGTTTGGGTTTGGGTTTTTACAGAACCCACTGTGAAAATATTCTGACAAGGTTTTTATTACATTTTTGCCATTGAAATATCGGATTCTATCAACGTGATAAAACTGATATCTTTCACACTGTGACAAATATCAAAAGTGATTTTTCACAGTGTGAAAATATAACTTTTTGGTATTGACCAATCATAACGATATCTTCTATTCGCTGCAAGCGATGGTAGAATAAGTGGTTGTTAAGGTATATGTTTTGTACACACACTTCAGTATTTACATAAATATACAATTAATAACATTTTTATAAGCAATCATACCAGAAAAAAAGCAGAAAACATCGGAATTGCGTTGAGTATCCCATTCAAAATGGCGCGCAGCCTTGTTGTCAAGCGTGACGTCATTAGAATATGGCGCTAATTATTACGCTTCTGATTCCCGCCCTTTTTAAATGCATTACAGTTTTCATGTTTTATGTTCAATGGTGTCTTCAGTAATAACAAATATATTTCACTCGTTAATATTTTGATATTTTTCACTCGTGTTGCGCTCTATAACTTAGTGTATAAAGCTTTGCGTTATTTAATTGATTAAGGAAGATAAACCAAAAGGTCAATTGGGCCTGTGTTGTACACCTGTCTATCAACACTGTTCACAAATTCATCTCACATCTGTGGGCTTCAAAGTGGCTAAATGTCAGTCTTAATAGCCAATATACATGAAATGTATGCTTATATTTATATATATTATTACTCTACATCTTATAATTCAACACAGCCCTTAACCCTTTCACCACTGTAGACCATAATGGACTCATCCAGATCAATACATAGTAGAGTTTACTAAAGTTACATAGGGGTGAAAGGGTTAAAGTGAATATAGGTCATTCATATAAAAACTATGTCGGCCCTCCATCTCACCCTACTTCAAACCAAATATCATGACCCTAGACCATTTGGTTATTCACACAAAAACTGATGAGCTTATTTTTGAAATAACCCCAACGATTACCAATTCAGAAAAAAATGGCATTCCTCTAATGTGGGAAGGATGAAGATAATATCTCTGATGGTTTTTAGTTCATTTAGGAGCTCATGCTGTGGTGCAGTGGATTTTTATTGGAAGTTGGTTTGAATTATTATTGGTCCAAGCGGAATCTGTTTTGTATAAATTGAGGGTGCGGCCTTCCCTGACGCAGAGGACATGGAGCAAAAGAGGAAATAACGGTAAATCTTTAAAGTCCCTCAATCTGTTCAAATAAAGAGTTTTAGTCCAAAGGAGAATTAAAATTATCTAAAAAACTTTCTTGGCTCTTTTATACGTCTTGCAACCTTTGACCTTTCCTGATATCTCGACAAACATTGCTTGTTATTAATGCAATGCGCCTCTTCGGTTCCTGGTAATAGAACCAGGTCTCGTTTCATGTATGATCTTCAGAATTGTTGTGTGATGAACTCAAAAAACAAGCCCGTCTCAAAAAATCAGTTGCAGTGAATTATTGTCAAGATAATAATGTGAAAAGCTTACACGTCTCAAAATTTAAATATCCTAAAATAGGCTGTTTGTACCATCAGATTCCTGGTTATGTCATTCATAATGGTTATGTATACATCAACTCTACCAGATTCTCAGTCCTTAAAGAATTAAAAAGTTCATTAACTCATCAAAATTTGTAATCAAGTTTAAATAAGTGTTTGTATCCTGTATTGATAGACAACTGTCGTCTTCAAGGGAGGGTAAGTGGTATCGACCATTACAGGATTTTATAATGTCAACATGTTGGCCACGGCATTCAAAGCTCACATGAATGCCATCTGAGGTTAGATGGCAGTACCATAGAGGTGTAAATAGAACAGGATGCAATGTGGTCAAAATATTATAATGTCAGTTTTCAAAGTCATATCATCAGGCTGAAGTCATTCAGTGACGGACCTCCATGGGTGTAATGCATGCTTGTGTGCTGGAGACAGTATTGCTTTGTCTCCTTACAATAGCCCCGATCCGATGTAACCTTACAGAAGTAACATATCAAAGTCACCCAGTACAGTATTCCGGTCACATTTTACGGACATTTCATTGTGACTACTTTATAAGTCCTACAGTACTCTGGTCACATTATACTGACATCTCATTGTGTCTACTTTATAAGTCCTACAATACTCCAGTCACATTATACCGACATCTCATTGTAACTACTTTATAAGTCCTACAATACTCCAGTCACATTATACGGACATTTCATTGTGACTACTTTATATGTCCTACAGTATTCTGGTCACATTATACCGACATTTCCTTGTGACTACTTTATAAGTCCTACAGTACTCCGGTCACATTATACGGACATTTCATTGTGACTGCTTTATAAGTCCTACAGTACTCTGGTCACATTATACCGACATCTCATTGTGTCTACTTTATAAGTCCTACAGTACTCTGGTCACATTATACTGACATCTCATTGTGTCTACTTTATAAGTCCTACAGTACTCTGGTCACATTATACTGACATCTCATTGTGTCTACTTTATAAGTCCTACAGTACTCTGGTCACATTATACCGATATCTCATTGTGTCTACTTTATAAGTCCTACAATACTCCAGTCACATTATACGGACATTTCCTTGTGACTACTTTATATGTCCTACAGTACTCCGGTCACATTATACCAACATTTCATTGTGACTACTTTATATGTCCTACAGTACTCCGGTCACATTATACCAACATTTCATTGTGACTACTTTATATGTCCTACAGTACTCTGGTCACATTATACCGACATTTCATTGTGACTACTTTATAAGTCCTACAGCACTCTGGTCACATTATACGGAAATTTCACTGTGACTATTTCATAAGTCCTACAGTATTCCGGTCACATTATACGGACATTTCATTGTGACTGCTTTATAAGTCCTACAGTACTCTGGTCACATTATACCGATATCTCATTGTGTCTACTTTATAAGTCCTACAATACTCCAGTCACATTATACCGACATTTCATTGTGACTACTTTATATGTCCTACAGTATTCTGGTCACATTATACCGACATTTCCTTGTGACTACTTTATAAGTCCTACAGTACTCCGGTCACATTATACGGACATCTCATTGTGTCTACTTTATAAGTCCTACAGTACTCTGGTCACATTATACTGACATCTCATTGTGTCTACTTTATAAGTCCTACAATACTCCAGTCACATTATACCGACATTTCATTGTGACTACTTTATAAGTCCTACAGCACTCTGGTCACATTATACGGAAATTTCACTGTGACTATTTCATAAGTCCTACAGTATTCCGGTCACATTATACGGACATTTCATTGTGACTGCTTTATAAGTCCTACAGTACTCTGGTCACATTATACCGACATTTCATTGTGACTACTTTATAAGTCCTACAGTACTCCAGTCACATTATACGGAGATTTCATTGTGACTACTTTATAAGTCCTACAGTACTCTGGTCACATTATACCAACATTTCATTGTGACTACTTTATATGTCCTACAGTATTCTGGCCCATTTTCCTTGTGACTACTTTATATGTCCTACAGTACTCTGGTCACATTATACCAACATTTCATTGTGACTACTTTATATGTCCTACAGTATTCTGGCCCATTTTCCTTGTGACTACTTTATATGTCCTACAGTACTCCGGTCACATTATACGGACATTTCATTGTGACTGCTTTATAAGTCCTACAGTACTCTGGTCACATTATACCAACATTTCATTGTGACTACTTTATATGTCCTACAGTATTCTGGTCACATTATACCGACATTTCCTTGTGACTACTTTATAAGTCCTACAGTACTCAGGTCACATTATACGGACATTTCATTGTGACTGCTTTATAAGTCCTACAGTACTCTGGTCACATTATACCAACATTTCATTGTGACTACTTTATATGTCCTACAGTACTCCGGTCACATTATACCAACACTTCATTGTGACTACTTTATATGTCCTACAGTATTCTGGCCCATTTTCCTTGTGACTACTTTATATGTCCTACAGTGCTCCGGTCACATTATACCGACATTTCATTGTGACTACTTTATAAGTCCTACAATACTCCAGTCACATTATACCGACATTTCATTGTGCCTACTTTATAAGTCCTACAATACTCCAGTCACATTATACCGACATCTCATTGTGACTACTTTATATGTCCTACAGTATTCTGGCCCATTTTCCTTGTGACTACTTTATATGTCCTACAGTACCCCGGTCACATTACACCAACATTTCATTGTGACTACTTTATATGTCCTACAGTATTCTGGCCCATTTTCCTTGTGACTACTTTATATGTCCTACAGTGCTCCGGTCACATTATACCGACATTTCATTGTGACTTCTTTATATGTCCTACAGTATTCTGGTCACATTATACCGACATTTCATTGTGACTACTTTATATGTCCTACAGTACTCCGGTCACATTATACGGACATCTCATTGTGTCTACTTTATAAGTCCTACAATACTCCAGTCACATTATACGGACATTTCATTGTGACTACTTACTTTATAAGTCCTACAGTACTCAGGTCACATTATACGGACATTTCATTGTGACTACTTTATAAGTCCTACAATACTCCAGTCACATTATACGGACATTTCATTGTGACTACTTACTTTATAAGTCCTACAGTACTCAGGTCACATTATACGGACATTTCCTTGTAACTACTTTATAAGTCCTACAGTACTCCGGTCACATTGTACCGACATTTGATTGTGACTACTTTATAAGTCCTACAGTACTCAGGTCACATTATACGGACATTTCATTGTGACTACTTTATATGTCCTACAGTATTCTGGCCCATTTTCCTTGTGACTACTTTATATGTCCTACAGTACTCCGGTCACATTATACCAACATTTCATTGTGACTACTTTATATGTCCTACAGTATTCTGGTCACATTA